TTCATTCTTTGTGTATTTCACATATTGGTCCTAAACTCTGTTTTTGACCCTGTATCCTTAATTCTGTTAATTCTGTAGCTGTTGGCTTTTCTTTTTTAGCTGATAATTCTTACTGTCTGGTAATGCTTATCTTAACACTATTTGAGGGCACTGGTCTCTGCTTTCAGTCTTAAGTTTACAAACATGAAGTCAAATTTCTGACAAATTAATAAACAGGAAGGAACCAGGATATTCCAGGGTCTCTGGAATAACAAACCAAAATAATATGATGACTAGATTTTGACATTGGAGGCAAATTTTTTTACAGCTAAAGAGGAACGTGTGGTAAATCCATGTTATCTGCTGCTCAGCTTTGTCCCTAACTGGTACTTGTTAGTTTTAAAAATGGTTCAGAGGATGTAAGGAGTAGATCACTTATGAAAAATACAAGTGGGGTTTCTCATTCTTTTAAATTATTTTTTCCATATAGTATGCCCTATAATTTTTTTCTAGAAAAATAATTTCCAGAATTTATTGTTTTGGTTTTTTTGTTTTGTTTTTTACCTTTTCTATTTGGATAGAAAAGATCTTGTATGCCTAATACAACATGGGAAGGAATCTGGTCCTTGAGACGGTTGCTCCCTGATGATTTCCAAATAGGAGTGAAAGAGCTGCTCCTCCTCCCATGGGACTTTTGTGAGTCTGTCCTGAGGAGGCAGTAGCCAAGTGTTTGGGGCATTAAAGGAGCAACTTGGTTCTGTTATCTTTTTGGGAGACATAGCTGTTTCTGTCTGACTGAGAAAAAAGTTTAATTCTGTGTTTAAAATTTAGTATAAGAAGTTTATTTTTAAAAAAGAAAGAAGGGAAAAGTTGAAGAATCCATTTTAGGGCTAACGAATGGAACCATTCTGGAGATGTATTCATGCAGTGTTGATTGAAATTGTTTGCACAGTAGAAAACAGATTAATCTCTCCACCTGTACTCACAACCTTCATCAAAGTGAGCGTTCTTTGAGATATAGCTATATTCATGTTTGGACCCCTGTAGAGAACATGAGCTACTTTTAGAGCAAATCTCTCCTATCCTTCCTTTTCTGTATCTCCCGTATTCTCACACAATACCTTTATATTCTGGAGGCTTTCTTAAAGGCAGCCTTCTAATTGAGTAGAGACAGAATAAAGAAGTATTTTTCAGCTGGGTGTGTTGGCTCACTCCTGTAATCTCAGCACTTTGTAAGGCCAAGGTGTGTGGATTGCTTGAGGCTAGAAATTCAAGACCAGCCTGGCCAACATGGCAAAACCCCAGCTCTAATAAAAATACAAAAATTGGCCGGGCGTGGTGGCATGTGCCTGCAATCCCACCTGCTTAGGAGGCTTAGGCAATGAGAATTGCTTGAACCAGGAGGCGGAGATCATGCCACTGCACTCCAGCCATATCAAAAACAAAGTGTAATATATATCATACATACATATTTTTTCAAAGTTGCACTATTAATTTATAAAGATCTAGAATGCAAAGATCCAATTGAATTTTGAATTCTGTTTTTACCCATTCAGAGGTCTTTTTTATTTTTTTTTGAGATGGAGTTTCACTTTTGTTGCCCAGGCTGGAGTGCAATGGTGTGATCTTGGCCTATTGCAACCTCCGCCTCCCAGATTCAAGCAGTTCTGTCTCAGCCTCCGTGCGTAGCTGGGATTACAGGCATGCACTACCACACCCAGTTAATTTTTGTATTTTTAGTAGAGTTGGGGTTTCTCCGTGTTGGTCAGGCTGATCTTGAACTCTCAACCTAAGGTGATCCTCCCGCCTTGACTTCCCAAAGTGCAAGCCTGAGCCACTGCACCTGGCCCAGAGGTCTTATTTGTAATACTGAACTCAGGATTCATTTGACTAATGTGTTCAGCAATATGTTAGGAGGGAAAAAGAAGACAAGATTCTAATTAAATAGCCATTAATCTCAACCAGAACCTTTTGGATATTAAAATTTCAGTGCTTTGTGTTCTAAATCATTTGAAAAGTGTGTCTGTGTTCTCTGATAATTGTTTTATAAAATATTTTTTTTTAATCTCTTTTAAAATTCATTATAAGAAGCTGGATGTGGTGGCTTACATCTATAGTCCCAGCACTTTGGGAGGCAGAAACGAGAGGATTGCTTAAACACAGGAGTTTGAGGCCAGCCTGGGCAACATGAAAAAAACGCCGTATCCAGAGAAAATACGAAAATTAGCCAGGTGTGGTGTTGTGTGCCTGTAGTCCCAACTACTTGGGGGACTGAGGTAGGAGGATCACCCAAGCCCAGAGAGGAGAGGTCAAAGCTGCAGTGAGCCATGAACACACCACTGTACTCCAGCCTGGGCAGCAGAGTGAGACCCAGTCTCAAAAAATAAAAAAAACCAAAATATTATAAGTAGACAAACCTCTTTTGACAGAGGCACATGTATTTGCGTAAATTTAGAGGCCTTGTCATGGAAATAACAAGTTCTTGGCTCAGCTGTTCAACTTCATGTGTATTGGACATTCCCCTTAACACCTTTGAAGGACTGCTGCAATAGCTTAGTCCTGTAATCCCACCACTTTGGGAGACCAAGATGGGCAGATTGCTTGAGCGTAGGAGTTAGAGACCAGCCTGGGCAATATGGTGAGACCTCAAGTCCACAAAAAATACAAAAATTAGCCAGGTGTGGTGGTGTGTGCCTGTAGTCTCATATACTTGGGAGGCTAAGGTGGGAAGATCATCTGAGCTCAGGAGGTTGGGGATGCAGTGAGCTGTAATCGTACCATTGCAGTCTAGCCTGGGCAACAGATTGAGACCCTTTCTCAAAAAACAAACCAAAGAAACCTCTGTATCACAGATCACACATAAAATGGGCGTAACATCTACCTTATGGTATTTTCTGATAGTCAAATAATCTGATGTATCCAAAAGACATTTTATACAGGGTAGTCAAATGCTAGATTAGTCTTCCTACCTTTCCCTCTAGAAAGGTTAGAAATTTTCCAAGTCACAGAAAATTTTCATCTTGTGGTTTTTTTGAAAAAAACAAATGGAAATGAAAATATTATATTTTAGAACATCCTTTCAATGAATTTTAATATTAAATATTAGAAAATATCAGTTTCTAAAATATTTATATAAACATATTACTTTGGAGAGTTTTATAAACTTATATTTTATTTTGGGATTTTATTTGCTTAGTTTATTTTAGATATGGAGCCTTACCCTGTTGCCCAGGCTGAAGTGCAGTAGCGCAATCATAACTCACCACGGCCTCCAACTCCGGGGCTCAATTGGTCCCCCTGCTTCAACCTCCTGAGCATCTGGGACTATGGCATGCACCACCACACCAAGCTAATTTTTATTTTATTTTTTATAAAGATGGGATCTTGCTGTATTGCTCAGGTTAGTCTTAAACTCCTGGCCTCAACTTCCCAAAGCGCTGGGGTTACAGGTGTGAGTTACTGCTCCCAGCCTCTATTTTTAGCTTTTTGTATGTTTGGATTCTCTCTAGACTTATTTTTAACCTTTAATTTCACATCGTTTTCCACATTGGTTATATCTATTAAGGATTATTGTTTTCCCTTATGAAATGCTGAATTTATTTGTGTTTTTGTTTTATTTAGAGAAGTATAGTAGAGAAATATATTATTTTTGATAAATTATTGGTAAATAGACACAGTAGTAGTGTCATATGAAGGCAGATTGCTGAGTCGTTGAGCTGACCTCAGTACTCCAGGATGCATGTATAAGTGAAAGCCATGGCAGTTTGTTTTACTGTGGCTCACACTTCTTTCTTCTGCTCCTTCGTAAGTTACAGGCTCGCTACTACTTGGAAGCCATGGTGGCTTAATTACTTTATATCCTCTGTGCTACATAGCATAGTATCTTTTTTTTAAAACAGAGTCTGACTCTGTCGCCCAGTTGTATCCTTTTTTTTTGGTTTTGAGATAGAGTTTCACTCGGTCACCCAGGCTGGAGTGCAGTGGTATGATCTTGGCTCACCGTAGCCTCCGCCTCCTGGGTTCAAGTGATTCTCCTGTCTTGGCCTCCTCAATTAGATGGGATTACAGGCATGTGCCACCACACCCAGCTAATTTTATATTTTTAGTGGAGACAGAGTTTCGCCATGTTGACGAGGCTGGTCTTGAACTCCTGACCTCAGGTAATCCACCCACCTCAGCCTCCCAAAGTGCTGGGATTGCAGGCCTGAGCCACCGTGCCTGGCCTGAGTTGTATCTTTTTGCCCTGAGCAAGTATTCTGTATTTAAATGTCATCATAAACAGTTAACTTAAATGTATTTTTATAATTAAACTTCTTATTTCTAAAATTATGTAAGTTAAAATGTGTAACTATTTTCTCAAAGCCCTGAAAAATTTTGTTGTAATGTGCATTGGGATGGACTTTAGTTTTAGTATTGTGCTAGTTAACAAACGCCAGTAGAGGGAGCTCCAACTCATCTTTGTTGGTCAAGTTCGCACTTCAGCATGTAGTTTTGTAGAAAGGGTACACATTTAAATTTAAAACTTAAACAAAACATGGTTCTATAAATTTTTAAAGGTACTAAAGGATGACAATTGTAATTTTCTTTAACTTTATGGAATAAAACAACCTCACTTTGGTTTCCATAGTTTGAAGTAAACTGCCCTCAAATATAACTAACTTCTACGTAGTATAGCCTCTTGCAAATGATCCGTCAAGCCATCCAAGGCTTTCAAAATCAAGAATCTATCTGGCCAGTTAAGGAAGAGGAGGAGAGAAAGGAGAGGGAGTGGTTGTCATAGGGTTATTGTTTGAAATTAGATTAAGTAAAGTAAAATTGTTAATTATTGGTAGTCATAATAGCAGTGTCGCATGAAGGTGGATTGCTGAGTTTTTGAGCAGTACAAGGAAAGAAAAATTTTGTACTGGGAACATTTATGCATGCAGAAGCTTTTTCACCCAAAATCTATAAAGGCTCCATTCAGCACCTTTGCTCAGATCTAGAGACCTTGTCCTAATTATTTTCTATTGGTTACTTTATAGACCCCAGAAGAAAATATCATGTGAGGCTCCTGGCTTACAACAACATAGAAGATGGCTATCAGGCAGATCAGACTGTCAGCACTCCAGGATGTGTGTGTAAGTGAAAGCTGTGGCAGTTTGTTTTACAACAGCTCACACTGTTCTTTTTCTTCCTCCTTCTTTAAGTTATAGTCTCACTACTACTTGGAAGCCATGGTGGCTTAATTACTTTATGTCCTCTGTGCTGCATAGCATAGTGTCTTTTGAGACAGTCTGACTCTGTCACCCAGGTTGGAGTGCAATGGCCCAGTCTTTGCTCACAGCAACCTCTGCCTCCCAGGTTCAAGCGATTCTCCTGCCTCAGCCTCCCAAGTAGCTGGAACTACAGGCATGCGCCACCACGCTAATTTTTTTTTTTTTTGCAAATATAGTAGAGATTGGGTTTCACCATGTTGGCCAGGCTGGCCTCAAACTCTTGGCCTCAAGTGATCCACCCGCCTTGGCTTCCCAAAGTGCTGGGATTATAGGTGTGAGCCACCACACCCAGCTGAAGTACCTTAAACAAATAGGTGCTCAGTAAATTCTTAAGTGAGTTATATTGAGTTATTAGTCCTGCTTTCATTTTGCCTGCAGAAGACAATAAGACACTTAACTGAGGAAAATAACTACTGAATAGCTACAAACTGAATTTTTTAAAAATCTGCTTTTACCTCTAGGCTAATTGTTTCTCTCCAATTGCTGTTCACTCGTACTGCTCCTAAAAAGGATGTTCTAGGCTTAAGTCTCCCACTGGTTTTCTCAGTGTCTTTGGCTAGTAGCCTGACTTCTCTGTGCTTCTGCTTTCCAATCTTTTAAGTATCAGTAATATAGTCATGCATAGCAGAATGACATTTCCGTCAACAGTGGACCACATATGTGACCATATGTCCCATAAGATTATAACGGAGGTGAAAACATTCCTATCACCTATGACATTGCTGTTATTGCATATAGCAACCTGTTACCGTTTTTCTGTTTGGATATGTCTGGACACACAAATACCATTGTGTTACAGTTGCCTACAGTATTTAGTACAGTAGCATGCCATACAATTTTGTAGCCTATAGGTAATAGTCTATACCATAAAGCCCAGGTGTGCCATAGGCTATATCATTTAGGTTTATGTAAGTGCACTCTGTGATGTTCACACAATGGTGAAATCACTTAATGACACGTTTCTTAGAATGTATCCCTGTTGTTACGTGATGCATGGCCGTTTTTGACCCCCTATTCATCTCATGGAAGAGTTGTTTAGATTTGGATGATATACTTCTAGATCACTATGAATCTCTGGTGGAAGAAAGACCTAAAATCATCTTACAGACTGCGATATTATTATTTTACCATTTTACCACTTTCTATGCTATATGTTATGTCGTATTGTAAATTAACATTGTTTTTCTCAATAGCTGTTCGTGATCGCATGGTCCCTCCTCCACCGCCACCCCATAATCTCTATGCAAAGGCTAACACCTCATCTTCCATCTTCCTGCACTGGAGGAGGCCTGCATTCACCACTGCACAAATCATTAACTACACCGTCCGCTGTAATCCCGTTGGCCTGCAGAATGCTTCTTTGGTGCTGTACCTTCAAACGTATGTAGCTCCTATTAATGGTTATCTTCTTTGCTTACCTCCCCACACCCTACCTGTAACTCATAGTTTTTACCATCTTGGGCCCAGCTTGATCTTCACCTGTAAACATTTGTTTCAGAACTTAAGTTACTCATAAAGTGGCTGGGAGTTTCGCATCCTTACCATTTTCTGAAAACCATACTTTTTGACATTAATTTATATAGGTGATTTTTAAATTTTCCTTGCCTCATGCAATAAGATTAGGCAAGAAGCTATTATTACTCTGAAGTGACTAAACTTAGCATGTTTAAAGAAAGAAGACTATTTTCATACTGGCAGTCAAAAAGTAGGGACAGTTGTCATTCTGTTTCTTGGTTAGAGTTAGAAAGATGCCCATCACGGTGCTCTAAAAGAATGATTTTGGGGAGGCTGAGGTGGGAGGATTACTTGAAGCCAGAAGTTTAAGATCAGCCTTGGCAGCATAGCCAGACCCCATCTCTACAAAAATATTATGTATATTTTTTATGAGATGGAGTTTTGCTCTGTTGCCTAGGCTGGAGTGCAGTGGCGTGATCTCGGCTCACCGCAACCTCTACCTCCTGGGTTTAAGCAATTCTCCTGCCTCAGCCTCCTGAGTAGCTGGGATTACAGGCAGCTGCTACCATACCTGGCTAATTTTTGTATTCATAGTAGAGATGGGGTTTCTTTCCATGTTAGTCAGGTTGGTCTCAAACTCCCGACCTGAGGTGATCTTCCTACTTCGGCCTCCCAAAGCGCTGAGATTACAGGTGTGAGCCACCGTGCACAGCCAAAAGTAAAATTTGTTTAATCATCCAGGCATGGTGGTTCATGCCTATAGATAGTCCTAGCTACTTGGAAAGCTAATGCAAGAGGATTGCTTGCCCTCGGGAGATAAAGGCTACAGTGAGCTATGATCCCATACTGCACTCTAGCCTGAACAACAGAGCAAGACTTTGTCTTGAATGAATGAATGATTTGGCTTCTGGTATTTCAGAGGAAATCTCTTTTTATTGGGACATTTTAAGTTTGCTCTCAGAGAGGCAACTGTTAGGCTTATTTCTATATGATAACACCAAATGTAGTATTTTAAAAGTCCAATTAAATTGTTCTTTTAGTGTAAACATTTTTTTCAAATAAAATAAGGAGGTAAAGAAAATTATGCCCTTACCTATTTGGAAATGCTGACATTCTTTTAGAAACAGTATGCTACCGCGTGCCTCCAGTCCCAGCTACTCGGGAGGCTGAGGCAGGAGAATTGCTTGAAACCGGAAAACGGAAGTTGCAGTGAGCCGGGATTGCACCACTGCACTCCAGCCTAGTGACAGAGTGAGATTCTGTCTCCAAAAAAAAAAAAAAAAAAAGAAAGAAAGAAAAAAGAAACACTATGCTACCAGCATTAACAACTTCATCACTCATTATTATAGATCAGAAACTCACATGTTGGTTCAAGGTCTAGAACCAAACACCAAATATGAATTTGCTGTTCGATTACATGTGGATCAGCTTTCCAGTCCCTGGAGCCCTGTGGTCTACCGTTCTACTCTTCTAGAAGGTAAAGAAAATAGCTCCCTATAGATTTTATCTTTTAAAAAAAATTAAGGAAATGTTTAAGAAATATATATTTACTCTGAGTAGGATATTACCCTAGTTGCCACCTACCAGTTGATTTATATATTTGTTTTGCTTTGTTTCTTTTTTTTCACTTTTGAAATTTCTTTTTCCTTATTATAATTAAATTTTTTCTTCTCAGTGTGTATATTGTACAAGCAGATAGGCTTAAATTTAGTGTCCTTTTAGAGACTTAAAAAAAAAAATCAGATGTGTTCTTCAAATCTGCAGCCAAATAATTTCAAATGGCAGTAAGTGAATAATATGTTTGTTAATGATCTTAGGAGCCAACATTATAACGAAGTTATTTCTGTACGAATGGCAGCTTGATGGTGTGCACAGAGCAATGTATATATCAGATTGAGCACCAATTCTGTAGCTTACCTATGACTCTATCCAAGATGTTTCATGTCCCTAGACCTACATTTTCCTATCTCTAGAATGAGGACAAAGGACTAGATAATCTATTATACTGTATAGGCATCATTTCTACTCTATTTTAATTATATAGAAAGAAAGTAAGGGACATTTATGACAGTGAACATAGGACTTTGTTGCTGTGGTTTTGGCAATATCCCATTTGAAATGTGTTAAAAACCAACTGTTCACACTTTTAGCTCATATTAAACATGGAGTCAACTTAAATTCCAAGATTTTACTGTTTTTCACAGATATATTATTAGATTGAAGTCTGCCCTGTAAGTTCACTGATTCACAACTTTTCCAGGAATCACTAAATTTTTTAATCTCAGAAGCATTTTCTTCACTGGTCTCCTAGATCAGGTTATGTTGATGTTCTATACATGTTAGTAAGAACTATCAGCACTAATGGGGTGAAACTCAATATCTAATAGACAGGTTCTGTTGGTGGAAGTAAACATTTCTAGTTAGCAGTTTAGCAAAACGTTTCAAGAACTTTAAAAATGCTATCTCTTTAACTTAGATTCTCCATCTAGGAATCTACTATCTTCTTTATGTTTTTTAATGTTTAAATATTATGAAAATAAAAGAAGAAAAATAGTACTTTATTATGCTCACTAATGATCTTTGAAAGCTGTGATTTTTTTATGGTGGTTTCTAATGTTTTGAACTTTTTTCTAAGCCTATCAGCGAGGTATTTGAGTGTTTATGAACCATTTTGTTCTACTCATACAATTTGATGTTGTGCGTGCGCAGCACCGGCAGGCCCACCAGTTGGAGTAAAAGTGACATTGATAGAGGATGACACCGCCCTGGTTTCTTGGAAACCCCCTGATGGCCCAGAGACAGTTGTGACTCGCTATACTATCTTGTATGCATCCAGGAAGGCCTGGATTGCAGGAGAGTGGCAGGTCCTACACCGTGAAGGTAAATATGATCATAAATTGCCACGAAGGGTGAAAAGTAAGATTTTGAATGTTAAAGAAATGAAAGGGGAATCTAGAGTTTATTTTGAATTTACATTTTTATGTATGAAGTAATAATTGAGTAAAGATTTTGGCTTTGTTCCAAGAGCCTTGGGAAGCCATCCACCAATTTTTAAGAACAATTTGTGTTTCAAAAATGTTACTGTTACTCTTGTTAATAGAAGAGGTTTGGCCAGGCGCAGTGGCTCACGTCTGTAATCCTAGCACTTTGAGAGGCCAAGGCGGGTGGATCACCTGAGGTCAGGAGTTCGAGACCAGCCTGGCTAACATGGCAAAACCCTATCTTTATTAAAAATACAAAAATTATCTGGGTGTGGTGGCGGGCACCTGTAATCCCAGCTACTTGGGAGGCTGAGACAGGAGAATGGCTTGAACCTAGGAGGCAGAGTTGCAGTGAGCGGAGATCGCACTATTGCACTCCAGCCTGGGTACCAAGAGCAAAATGCTGTCTCCAAAAAAAAAAAAAAAAAAAAAAAAGGTTTGGTTGAGGCCAACTGGAGATTAGAGTAATGCAAAGGGACTAGTTAGGAAGTTATTGTAGCTGCCCAGGAAAGAGATGCTAAGCCAGGACTATCCAGTGAGGATTAAGATGGAAAGGAGAGGATGGTTGGCAGATATTAAGGAGTTAATTAAGGATAGCTTGGACAATAGGAGGGAGAGAAGATTAAGGAAGGGAAGATTTCTAATGGATAAGTCTTAGATTTCTGGTAGTGTGTCTTACATAGGAGAAGGAAACGGTGGAAGGAGATCGGATATAAGGGAGAAGACCTTTGTTGTGCTAAATGGACTAAAATGGTCCACATACAAAAAAAATTGATGCTTATGAATATTAGAGTCCTCTTAAATACAGGGAAAAGATGATTAGGGCTTAAGAACACTGACTTCAGTTTTTTAGAGTAATTTTTTTTTTACCTGAGAAAAACTGAATTATAAAGTTTTTAGGATTCTTACTGCATACTTTTATCATTATATCCTTTTCTAAATCTTGCAATTTTTTTTTTTTTTTTTTTTTGGGGGGACACAGAATCTCAGCCTCCTGAGTAGCTAGGACTGCAGGCACACATGCCACCACACCCAGACTAAATCTTGAATCTTTAATTTGGGCAAGTCCTGTTTGCCAGTTTTTAGATGATCCATCACATAAATAGTGAAACTTTATTATTTTGACACTTTCTTAATTCAGACATGCATTCTGAGAAGAGAGTAGTTTGCCAACCAATAAAAGGCTGAAGAAGAAATTCAAGCAGGAGACGTAGTGGCCACCTTGACACTGTACCGTACTAGATACTCCCATATACATTGTACCTTTCAAGAGGATATTTATCCAGTTAGAAGATAAAAGATATTTATGTGCATGTAATATAAAATATGAGTTTTAAAATAAGTAGATGACAACTTTAGCTGGAGTTTGATCATTGCATGTTCCTATTTTTTTTTTTTTTATTAAGCAGAAGCCCCACTAAGTAATGATTTCCTGGTCACTGAAGAGACTTGAAAGTACTAAGCATTTGGCAGCAATATGATTTTGTGTTTATATTGGTTATCTATTGCTGCCTAACAAACTAATCTACAACTTAACATAACCATTTTGTTTTCTCATAGTTCTTTGAGTCAACAATTTGGACTAAAATCAGCTTGCAGTTCTGTTAGTCTTTCACAAGACTGCAGCCATATTACAGGTTTGATAGTCTCTGAGTACCCTCCTAAAAACATCAAGAGAAAGGCCGGGCGCTGTGGCTCACACTTGTAATCCCAGCACTTTGGGAGGCTGAGGCCGGCAGATCACAAAGTCTGGAGTTCAAGAGCAGCCTGACCAATATGGTGAAACCTCGTCTCTACTAAAAGTACAAAAATTAGCCGGGCGTGGTGGCGCGCATGTATAGTCAGAGCTACTCGGGAGGCTGAGACAGGTGAATCACTTGAACCCTGGAGACAGGGGTTGTAGTGAGCCGAGATCGTGCTACTGCCTTCCAGCCTGGGCGACAGAGCAAGACTCCATCTCAAAAAAAAAAAAACAAAAACACACCACACACACACAAACAGCAAGGGAGGGCTTCAAAGTCAGAAAGAGAAAAGAGGAAGCCTCACGTACACAACTTTCACAAGCCTCTCCTTGCATCACATTCAGTAATATCTAATTGGGCAGAGTAAGCTACATGGCCAAGTCTGGAGCCAGTGTCAGGAGGGCTACAAGGGTGTGTGAATCGATGGGAGTATAATTTGCTAGAGGCCCTTAGTGCTACAGTGTACCACAGTATGTTTTTTGGAGATGGAGTCTCACTCTGTCGCCCAGGCTGGAGTACAGTAGCGCCATCTTGGCGCACTGCAACCTCCACCTTCCAGGTTCAAGCAATTCTCCTGCCTCAGCATCCCAAGTAGCTGGGACTACAGGTGCATGCCACCACGCCTGGCTAATTTTTTGTACTTTAGTAGAGACGGGGTTTCACTGTGTTGTCCAGGCTGGTTTCAAACTCCTGAGCTTAGGCAATCCACCCGCCTCAGCCTCCCAAAGTGCTAGGATTACAGGCATGAGCCACTGCACCTGGCCTCACAGTATTCGTAAAATATATAATTTGGTTTCAGTTATTCAATTTCGTAATGATTTATTGACACAGCACTTAACTAAATAACTCGATTTAATGAGGTGTTATAAGTATTAATAATTTTGATAGCACGAACACATATTTCTTTGAGTTCTTCATTTGTACCTGCCTAAAAAGAAACAATATAGAGCCGAGCACAGTGACTTATACCTGTAATCCCAGCACTTTGGGAGGCTGAGTCAGGTGGATCGCCTGAGGTCAGGAGTTCGAGACCAGCCTGGCCAACGTAGTGAAACCTCGTCTCTACTAAAAATATAAAAAAGTAGCTGGGCATGGTGGCATGCACCTGTAATCCCAGCTACTAGGGAGGCTGAGGCAGGAGAATCGCTTGAACTCGGGAGGCAGAGGTTCCAGTGAGCCTAGATCACGCCATTGCACTCCAGCCTGGGCAACAGGAGTAAAATGCCATCTCAAAAAAGAAAAGGAAGCAATATATATTTTATCCTGGCTTCTTTTAAATGTATCCATTTGTAATTTTGGAACAGGGCTCAGAAAATAGCATTTTGCCTCATTGATGTCTCAGTAGTGAAAGGAATTACAGTCCAGATTTTTACATTTATGTAAGCTCTTCTAGCTATATAACAGTGCACAGGAAAAAATAATCTATTAGTTGCTGTGGTTCTAAGAAACATTATTTGTGAAAAGCTTTTGTCATTTGTTAAATGTAGAGAACTTTTTTCATAGCTAAGGCCAATGATTCATAGAAAATAAGTCAGTAAAAAGTAATTTAGTTTACTTTTCAGAGAGAGAAAAACATAAGAGTTTGACTCACATTTAAACAAAAAGCGAGGACTATAGCACGGCATTTAAAGAAAAATTAAAATGTCTTTTATGTATAATTATGGCAACTTTTGGAAAAGTTATGGTATAGAAAAAGATAAAGGAAAAAATGTCAATTTTTTTCCCATATACCTATTAATCTATACATACTACGTTTATATATATTTATGTATATATTTAATTCACATATTTTAATACAAATGAAATGATATTTTTCATGAATCAAAACATTTAAAAATGTTTCTGGTGAGCATATAATATTTGTGGCTGAAATGGTACATGGTAGTACAGTGGTTGAGCAGAAGTAGGACATGAAATTAACTCGTGTGTAATTTAAAATGGATCAAAAATTATAGGGTGTAGGCATGAGCCTGTAGTCCCACCTACTCAGGAGACTGAGGCAGGAGAATCACTTGAACCCAGGAGGCAGAGGTTGCAGTGAGCCGAGACTGTGCCACTACACTCAGTCTAAAAAAAAAAAAAGAGATTCTAAGAAAGCCTTTACCTTCCTGGTATGCAGTAAATCAGCACAAAGTACGCAATTCTTTTTAAATCTAAAAGGCACTGGAGGAAATTATGTTCTATCTTGGCAATTCATGAATTCTGTCCTTTATGAATAGTTTCCTATTATCATAAAGATGTGTCTCTTTCAAAAAAGTTTTTTTATGATTTAATAAGTTTGAGGAATACCATATACCTTTCCTCTTGTTAGAGATTGACACTGGAAATTAGAAATCCTGTGATAAAGGAATCCATTTAACGCAACATTTCCCAAATGAATTGGACCACCAATAATAGGAACATTTTCATTTATTAACTAATTATTATTGAGTGATGACTATGTGCCAGGCTCTATTCTAGGAACTGGCAGTACCACAGTGAACAAAACAAAATCCCTACCACCACTGGAACTTATATCACAGGTAACAAGCCAACAAGTATTTACGATTTTAACTAGTGTCATAAACGCTATAAAAACAGTTACACTGGGCGTGGTGGCACATGCCTGTAGTCCCAGCTACTCGGGAGGCTGAGGAAGGAGAGTCATTTGAACCTGGGAGGTGGAGGTTGCAGTGAGCCGATATCATGCCATTGCACTTCAGCCTGGGCAATAAGAGCAAAACTCCATCTCAAAAAAAAAAAAAAAAAAAAAAAGTTGCAGTAAGGAAAAAAATAACAAAGCGATGGAGGCAGTAAAAGAGTTCTGTGGAGGAAATGTCATCCAAATATAACCCTGTGGATATTACGGGGAGGTGTAAAGGCCCTGAGGCAGAAGTGTACATTGGCATGTTAGAAGAACAGCAAGAAGGCCAGAGAGGCTGGAGTGAGAGGAAGAGCAGGCAGTAAGAAGTGAATTATTAAGGAGGTAACCAAGTGCACATGCAGACCAGACTTCATGAGCCATAGATTTTATTCTAAGAGAGGAAGGTATTGGAGACCTTTGATCAGGTTTACATTTTGAAAGGATTGCTCTGGCAGCCACCTGTGAAATGGATTGTAAGGAGGTAAGAGTGGAAGCTAGGAGACCATTTCATAGGCAGGTGTCCATGTAAGAGTTGATGAGGGCTTGGACAGGCATGGTAATGGTGATGGTAATAAGCTTTGGAACACAATTTGAAAGAAAAGCCAGTCAGATATGCTTGTATATTGATGTGGGGCATAAGAAAAAACAGAAGTGAAATAAGTGTGAGAAATCAAAGGTTTTGTTATGAAAGTGTGAAATTCGAGATGTGTCTTAGATGTCTATGCAGAGAGGCCGATTAAGCAGTGGGAAAATTAAGTTTATAGGAGAGTTTTGGACTAGAGATATACCTGGTCATCAATGTATAGGTGATATTTAAGGCTGTGGATCTGGAAAAAAAATTACATAACCACGTGGACAGAGGAGAGAAAGATCTGAGACTGTATTCTGGGGCACTGCTCCAACCCCAAAATCTTACCTTTTGCTTTTATAATTTAAATGGACATTGTGGTCCAAATATGAAAAAAAAAGTTTTCTATTCTCCAAAAGAGAAAGAGGAGGAGTCAGAGGTAAAGGAAGAAAACTTGCTTTTATTGAATATTTACACTTGTGTCAGATACTTGCCAATGATAGTTTATTTAAGCCTTATAATAATTATATGAAGTGGTAATTATTGTCTCCATGAGGAAAGTACAGTTCAGTAACATGCCCCAAGTCAGAAATTCCTCACTTGGTTACAGGACAAGATTTGACCAGCTTTGATGTGAATTAGCCTGTTACACTGTCTTGCTTATAAGATTCCTAGTCTGACCAAAGATTCAGGCACATATAAAAGGCAGGAGATGGAAATAATCACACTAATTAAGATTGAGAAGCCCGTTGAGAGAATATAGACAGATCACTTTAGCATTTGTGAAATGCTTTGAGTGTCCTCATAGGGGAACCAGAATGTTAGAGTTTCCCGTTTATCTAAATGAAGATACTTTTGGGGGGAAAAAGGGAGTGCATGCACACACGCACTGCTGGTTTGCGTATAAAACTTAAGTGAAAAGATTTAGTTTCTGGTAGCGATTCGTTTTTGCCAAGTACTTTTTAAAATTAAATGCATTTTATCATAAAATGGAAACTCAAATTATTTATACCTCTATGAATACATGGAAATGTTCTTCCTTTTAGCTGTGTAACATTCATAATACATCTTTGTTTTTTAATTCGTCTGCCTAAAAACATAGTAACAGTAGAAAGATTCTTCCTGATTCTAAACAGGGGTCACTTTGTTTATTTAACAGTTGTGTACTCAAGTAGCTCACACTCTCTTCAGGCCAAGCTGAAACCAGAGAACATGAAAACAAGTTGTGTTCTGGCTCCTGGCATGGCTGCTGGAGGTTTGGCTGCCTCACACCATGTGACCTGCAGAGGTGGCCTCTGTCTCATGACCTCAGCTCTTAGAGCACCCCACGTTTTGCTTGCATAATGAAACATACTCTAGCAAGTGCACTGGGATAGCCAACTCTGGCCAGGAGGCAACTGTCACAAACTATTGTAAGCTGTTTGAAGCTATTGTAAGGCTGCACTGAGCCAGGAAGAAATGAGATGAAATCAGGGAAGGAAAGCTAGATTTCCCTGTGCATATCCACCCACAAACATAGTGCTGAAACAAGTTTCTGGTTGAGTTTCTATGACACCTTTAGCACTAGAATCAATTCCTAGGGTAGGAGTATTTTATAAGACAAATACTTTGGTGCAGTGGCAGAACAAGACACCTCAAGAAATGGCATTGTCTAAATAGGAATCTTTCTTAGCAGTCATGCAACAGAGAAAATACCTTTAGATAACAAATATCATATATAAATTCAAATGATAATTAGGAAGAGAATTAGATCTTACATAGATTGCTGGTGGTGATTTTGATAGTTTAATCTGAGACATGTCTTCAGTACTCTGAGATTCTTACATAATTGTGCATTTTCTTCCATTTATCTTAAATCTGTGATAAAAATTAGGCCAGGCCGGGTGCAGTGATTCACACCAGTAATCCTAGAACTTTGGGAGGCCAAGGCATGTGGATCACTTGAGGTCAGGAGTTTGAAATCAGCCTGGCCAACATGGTGAAACCCCATCTCTATTAAAAATACAAAAAAAAAATTTAGGCACGTGTGATGGCAGGTGCCTGTAATCTCAGCTACTGAGGAGGCTGAGGCAGGAGAATCGCTTGAACCCAGGAGGTAGAGATTACAGCGAGCCCAGATTGTGCCACTGCACTCCAGCCTGGGGGACAGAGCAAGACTCCATCAGCAAAAATAAATAAATAAATAAAAAATAAACAAATAAAAAAAAGATATCCCTGCTTTCAAAAATAATCATGTTGTTCTAATTTAGGAAGGAAGAACAATTTTACCTATCACAGCTGTTACCATAAGTGGTTTAAGCACCTCCAGTTAAAAAAATGATTATCACACTGGATTTTTAAAAATCCAGTTATAACCATTGAAAGCTCGGCACAGTAGAGTCTGCCCATAGTCCCAACTACTGGAGAGCCCAGGAGTTCCAGTCCAGCCTGGGCCATGTAGCAAGACCCTGTCTCTAAAAAATAAGAATATAATTATTGAATCTGGGCTCATTATACCATTATCTCTATGTGCATGTTTGAAATGTTCCATGGTAAAATGTCCTAAATTCTATTTGTATTCATATCTATGTAAAGAGTAAAACATTACACACATACACAAATAGATACATATGTGTACGTGTGTGTATGTGTGTGTGTGTTTACCCAAAGAAAAATGTGTACTAGTTTTAAAAGCTCCTAAAATAGAATTACAAAGAAGGATTATATTTGGAATATGTACATACTACAATGTTCAGTGAAAACTCTAATATATAAAAATTTATGCAGTAAATATGTATTATGTATTCAGAAATATTCACATATGTGCACTCAAAAAATATACTGAAATGTTAACAATGGAAGACTGTAATTTTATTTATATTTCTCTTTATTTTCTCAATGGTCTACAATAAATATGTGGCATCTTTATAATCAGAAAAATATTTTAAAAAATAAAGGACAGTGTATAATATGAGTGAAAGAATGAAAGTTAAACGTTCACTTAATTTGTAATTGATGTATTTATAGGAGCAATAACCATGGCTTTGCTAGAAAACTTGGTAGCAGGAAATGTGTACATTGTCAAGATATCTGCATCCAATGAGGTGGGAGAAGGACCCTTTTCAAATTCTGTGGAGCTGGCAGTACTTCCAAAGGAAACCTCTGAATCAAATCAGAGGCCCAAGCGTTTAGATGCTACAGATGCCAAAGGTCTGTATACTGCCATAATCACTGTGATTTTTCTTAAAAAAAAAAAAAAAAAAAAAAAAAAAAAAAAAAAAAAAAAAGGTATTCTCCGTTACACTTTATTTCCATTCCTACAATTGTCATATCCCTAAAGTGGCTTTCAGTTCCTTAAGTTGTTGTTGATGAGGTTCTGATGTTTTGGAGCTGCATGACTTTTCCCCGTAGTCCTAGAAAGAGGCAAAATTACCTCAGAATTAACTGCAGTTTTAAAACCACTGTGTTTCCAGTTAATTATTCTTCCAGCTTTGCATCCACAAAGACAGAGGAGCCACATCAGCCGTGAGCTAGTGGGAGTGGGCTTCCTGGGAGGTTTCACAGAAATAAACAGCACTGGTGGTTTCGGTGTTCAAGTTAAGAAGGGAGCATGGTTTTCATGAACAGTTTTCACCACAGAAGAACAACCTTTCTGGAGAAAAAGTTGGGTTTTTTTTTTTTTCTCTTCAGAAAAGCAAATGGAAAAAATATCTTTAGAGAGCCATCCTTGCTGTGGTCATTACAGCTGTCCATGTGTTCTCAAGAAGGCCAGTGCCCCCAGTAGCACAGGAGTGGACACTGCCTTTGCCTCCGCTCTGGAGGAGTAGGCTTGTGGAGAAGAGGGGCTGCTTTAAATGGAGGAAATGCCAGCTGAACTCAGGGCAGGATTAAGGGCTCTTCGCTCCACAGAGGATGGTTATTCGGTGCCAGGGATGTGTATGTGTTAGAGAATGAGAGAGGAAAAGAACAGGACGGGGCAGTCAGATTTAAGAACAAGAAAGAGCCATGGTAGCTACCGTATTATCGGGGAAATGGAAAGCAAGGCTCACACTGACTTCTCAAATACCTTGCCACTCAGAGTAGTCTAGAACCCAGCGGCATGACATCGCCTGAGAGCTTTGTAGACACACAGAATCACATGCCCCATGCCAGACTTAGTGAATCAGAGTCAGTCTGCATTTTCACATTATCCCTAGTGACTCACAGGCAGTTATGAGAGCCCTGCTTTAGTGTATGTAAATGGAAAACTAATCTTCAACATACAGATCTGCTTTTAAGGCAGCATGACATAAAATCTGTTATTGGGTCTATCAAAGAACATCTTCGTGCCTGTTTTATAAATTATGAATTGGTGTTCATGACTGCTATACTATGATATCTAAAACTCATATTTAAAATCTTTAATATTGGAAGATAAATCTGTCTCGGAAACCACTGATTAAAGATTACTGTGTGTCTTTGCTGCCTTGATACTGATAATGTCAAAACTTTTCCAATGAGCTGAAGAAAAATTTTGGAAAAGCAAGTATCTGAGAATTATAATAAATTGAATAATTTGTTTTTCTCATTGATTCTGAATAAATGTGTTTTCCCCTCTAGTTTATTCAGGATATTACCATCTGGACCAAAAATCAATGACTGGCATTGCTGTAGGTGTTGGCATAGCCTTGACCTGCATCCTCATCTGTGTTCTCATCTTAATATACCGAAGTAAAGCCAGGTGTGTTTCCATTGCTAGAGATGTTGAGGTTAAAAAACATTTAAATTACAGTAGCCACAGGAAACAAATGGAAATCAAGTGTCTTTTAGAGTAACTGGGATTTCCTACTTTAAAATAAATGTTAAGTATTGTTCCCTGAGTTCTTATAGCTACAGAAATTTGCTCATTTTAGGAGGTTATTTTCTTACTATTTGAAAATGTTACTATGCCAATAAAATATTCTTAAATGAGGACCTAGTGTCCTCATGTGTTCTTTCTTTCTTTCTTTGATTTTGTTTTGTTTTTGTGACAAAATCTCACTCTGACGCCCAGGCTGGAGTGCAGTAGCACAATCTCGGCTTGCTGCAACCTTCACCTCCCAGGTTCAAACAGTTCTGCTGCAGCCTTCCAAGTAGCCGGAATTATAGGTGCCTGCCAACATGCCTGGCTAATTTTTGTATTTTTAGTAGAGGTGGAGTTTCACCATGTTGGCCAGGCTGGTCTCGAACATCTGACCTCAAATGAATGATCTACCTACAGGCGTGAGCCACTGTGCCTGGCCTGGTGTCCTCGTTTTCTTAGTATTTTGAGAAACAGGATATCCTTTGGTTAAAAAAATAATAATAATGGCACACTTGTGTGGGCATGGTGGTAATCAAACCTTGGTAATCCCAGAGCTTTGGGAGGACAGCAGTTTGAGACCTGCCTAAGCATCATAGTGAGATCTTATCATTACAAAAAATGTTAAAATTAGCTGATCATGGTGGTCATATGCCTGCAGTCCTAGCTACTTAGGAGGCTCAGGTAGGAAGATGATTTGAGTCCAGGAGCTTGAGGGTACAGTGACCTATGATCATAATACTGCGCTCCAGCCTGGGCAGCAGAGGGAGAAACCCTGTCTATTAAAAAAAAAAAAAAAAAAAAAAAAAACCACAATCATGTTTATGAAAGAAATTCTTTTTCTTACTATCTGAAATATTTTATATTTCAGTAACAGTACCTGAAGTGCCTAAGTCACTGAGAACACCACAGGACGTATGGTGGGATTCTCTAGACAAGGGTTAAGACAAATGTAATAACCAAGGATTGAGTATCTATAAACTCTGTCAGGCATTCTCATCTGTGGATTGACTTTGGCTAAATTTTCACTAGTAACTTGCATTCAGTAAACTTGTCTATTTTAAACCTTTTTATTTTGGGTTTTGTTTTCGTTTATTTTCTTAAGGCTATTTTTTTGAATTAAGAAAAGGTCAACGTCAAATACAAGTTGTTTTAGGTAATCCCCATCATTAGACACCCTCCATTAGCATAGATTTTTCAGTTTACTCTATATGTTTCCTATTTCTCTATAGAAACATATTACTCAAAAACTTTATGTTAATTAAATAGTTATAACATCTTTGTGTATATAGAACTGCCTTGATTTTATTGTCAAAGTTTCTTACTTTAAGAAATTTTTTTTTTTTTTTTGAGACGGAGTTTCGCTCTTGTTACCCAGGCTGGAGTGCAATGGCGCGATCTCGGCTCACTGCAACCTCCGCCTCCTGGGTTCAGGCAATTCTTCTGCCTCAGCCTCCTGAGCAGCTGGGATTACAGGCACGCACCACCATGCCCAGCTAATTTTTTGTATTTTTAGTAGAGACAGGGTTTCACCTTGTTAAACAGGATGGTCTTGATCTCTTGACCTCGTGATCCACCCGCCTCGGCCTCCCAAAGTGCTGGGACTACAGGCTTGAGGCACTGCTCCCGGCCATAAGAATTTTTAAATAAAATATTTATGCACATTGTTTAGTAATGCCTAAATCTTGAAGTACAATTGTAAATTTACCATCATTAATTGTAAAGTGAATTGTTATGCTAGTGCAATAATCTTCAGACCTTAAGGGGAGAATATAAGTTAAAAATTATAATTTCCACACAAATTATGAATAAACAATAACAGTTATTTGTAGAGAGTAATTTTATATTAAGTAGACATTGAGACAAAAAGAAATAAAGATGCCTTTTTAAATAATAAAAGTTTGCAGTAGTACGCTAACATTCATTTCTAAAAATATTTGAGAAATGGGTATTAAAAGAACGTCTTTGTTTGCAAAGTTTTGTTGATAGGCCAGGTGTTTCATCTGCCTGTATCTTCTGTGAAATTAGAAGACTTCCTCTTCTTGCCAATATTTTAGGAAATCATCTGCTTCCAAGACGGCACAGAATGGAGCTCAACAGTTACCTCGTACCAGTGCCTCCTTAGCTAGTGGAAGTGTAGGAAAGAACCTGGAAGGAGCTGGAGGAAATGAAGAATCTTTAATGCCAATGATCATGCCAAACAGCTTCATTGATGCAAAGGTACTGAGCAGCGAGATTTGCTGCATACGCCTTTCTTCCATTCCTCTTTCCTTTATGTGTAACAATGTACTTACCAGAAAATTATAAAAATTTAGTTATATGTTTTATATGTAAGACGCATAATTAAAAGTTATTTATCTTATATAAGAGTATTTATATCAATATTGTTATTAATGAAACATTGAAATTTTACCCAGATCATTCCTTACATAAAATATTTAGGGGGGAAAAGGTAAGGATAGATAAAAGATAAGAAAGAGTTATAGAAAAACGTGAGGAGGTAACAAAAGTTCAATTAGGTGAGATTACATGGAGTGAGGTTGCCTTACCAAGGATACCATGGCCATTAGTCTATATTTACTATAATTTGGACTGACCTATATTTACTGGGTGGTCACCTTTTTGTTAATCCATTTTACTTAGTTTGGTCGATTGTTGAACATAATTGCTCATCAGAACATCCCAAGTATGAATGACGTTTTTTCAAATATGGAACATCTAAATATGTGCCTCAAGATCCTTCATTTTACGGATAAAGAAAGTTGGATATACTAGAAAAACACTATTGGAGGAAGTTATGTCGTGTCCTCTCCAGTATATATAGTAATAATAATAGTGCCGTCGTAAGCATTGTAAACACCAACTTTTAAAATCATTTTAGTCACATTACAACTTTAGATATTGTGTATTATTGCAGTGGCTCCTATAACCAGTGTGCTATAATTCAGTTGTCAGTAAACAGTCCACCCAGGCCAGCCTGTGGCCTGTTTTTGTGTAGCTACATTCTGAGCTAAGAATGTTTTTTACTTTTTTTCTGAGAGCAAGTCTGGTTCTTGTTGCCCAGGCTGGAGTGCAGTGATGCAGTCTCAGCTCACTGCAACCTCTGTCTCCCGGGTTCAAGTGATTCTCCTGCCTCAATCTCCTGAGTAGCTGGGATTGCAGGTGTGTGCCACCATACCCGGCTAATTTTGTATTTTTAGTAGAGACAGGGTTACACCATGTTGGTCAGTCTGGTCTTGAACTCCTGACCTCAGATGATCTTTTCCCCCCCAACCACACCCTGGCCCCTCGGCTTCCCAAAGTTCTGAGATTACAGGCGCCACACCTGGCTGTGTTTTACATTTTTAAAGATTGTTTACCAAAAATAAAACCCAAGGTCATGATGATGTGACACAGGCTGTATGTGGCCTAAAATCGTTATGGCCTGGCTCTTTACAGGAAAAGTTTGCCAAACCCTGTTATAAATTAGTTTTCCTTTATCCTTTCCTGAAATTTAGAATAACAGAAGTATAACAAAATTTTGATATTAAATGTTATGCAATTATATTCAACAGATATAATTTACTTGTATCTAGTATTACATATAATACATATTATAGGTAAATAGGAATAAATGGATGTTTGCTATTTCTCTTGACTTTTGTTTGCTGCCTAATTCAGCATTTACTTTCTAATACAAATTAAGCCATTCAACTTATTTCAAATTAATCTAAAACATAGAACCTAAAACTTTTAAATGAGCTTAAAAAGTACTAATACATATACTGTGATTATATTATTACTAGTTTGGAAGTAGACCTGAGAGAGGTGAGGAGAGAAGCAGAGTGGTGAGGGAGGAGGATGTAGGGAAAAAAAGAAACAAATGAAAGGAGCAGAGAGGTGTAGAGGCCTGAAGTGAAGGAGAGAAACTCGTTTGGAGAATCTCTCTCTTAATTCCTTTGGGTTAGCCCTAGAGTTCATACTCCACCTAATGTCATTTTGTTGCACATATATGGGTTCATTATGTTTTTTTAATCCCCATCTGCTTTTTAAAATTTTCAAACATAAAGGTTGAGAGAATAATGTATTGAATATATAAATTAGTAATTGTTAACATCTTATAATTCCATATCTTTCTCTGTATATTTTTTGCTTGCTATACCATTTGAAAATAAGTTTTGGAAGATAGAGCATATATATCTTAATATGCTTTGGCGTATATATTTTATGTATAATCTTTTTTTTTTTCCGAGACAGAGTCTTGCTCTGTCACCAGGTGCCAGGCTGGAGTGCAGTGGTGTGAGCTCAGCTCACTGCAACCTCTGCCTCCTGGGTTCAGGCAGTGCTCCTGCCTCAGCCTCCCAAGTAGCTGGGACTACAGGCATGCACCACCACGCCCAGCTAATTTTTGTATTTTTTTTTTTTTTTTTAGTAGAAACGCGGTTTCACCATGTTGGCCAGGATGGTCTCGATCTCTTGATCTCGTGATCCGCCCACCTTGGCCTCCCAAAGTGCTGGGATTACAGGCATGAGCCACCGCACCCGGCCTATGTATAATCTTAAAAATAAACCTGTTATATGACCACTAACAAATACCTTGACTATGTTGTACTGCTTGTTTTAAAGAAGAATTAATGACATCTGTAATCATTTTTTTAAACATTTTGTGTACAAATGTTCACTATTTGGGTAATGGGTACACTAGAAGCCCAGTCCCCACCACTATGCAATATACTCGTGTAACAAACATGCATCTGTACTCCCTGAATGTAAAATACAATAAAATTAAAAGGGAAATGCAAAGCAAATAGTAAAAGTATGCACTGCTTATGATAAACTGAAATCTGTGATACCAAGATATTTTATGTTTCCCCTCTTTTATTTCCCCAGGGAGGAACTGACCTGATAATTAATAGCTATGGTCCTATAATTAAAAACAACTCTAAGAAAAAATGGTTTTTCTTCCAAGACTCAAAGAAGATACAAGCTCAGCAGGTAGCCTGTATAAATGAGAAAAATCTTTGGCAACACATGGTATATGAAATGATCATTAAAAAAGAGGAAAATGTGAATTCATGCTTTAACTTTATGTGTTCTTTATGGCTGTGATTTTATTAATTTGGGGCATGGCTCTGTGGATAGCTGAGCTGAGTGATAACTGAACGGGAGTTGGGACAGTCATCAGAGCTGCGGTTTTCAGTGAGGATTGGGGTCAGTGGAGAAAGGAATAGGAGCAGGAGCATGCATCAAAAACACTGAAGAAGCTTTTGACACTTCGCTTGCCATGGGTAATTCTGATGTGCTCCCAACCTTCTGTAGGGACCTGATGAGCTTTTGCACACAGATTTGATCAGCCTGCTATTTCATTGCCATCTTATCCTTTTTTGCCTAGCCTCAAAGAAGATTTACTCCAGCCGTCTGCTTTTACCAGCCAGGCACTACTGTACTAATCAGTGATGAAGACTCCCCCAGCTCCCCAGGGCAGACAACCAACTTCTCAAGACCCTTTGGTGTTGCACCTGATACAGAACATTCAGCAAATAGCGAAGGCAGCCACGAGACTGGGGATTCTGGACGATTCTCTCATGAGTCCAACGATGAGTTACATCTGTCCTCAGTTATAAGTACCACTCCCCCTGACCTTTGATTCTTTCACTGGCAGTGATTCAGGTGGAGATTCCACCATGAGGAAGTGTGAAGACCCTGCTGTGTCATCCGTTACTGAGCAGACTTCCTCTTCAGTTCCGCAGTCACCATCTGCCATGCTATGCTTTGATAAAAACAATTTTCCAATCTAGACGGCCACCCTCAGGTATTCTCACCAGTAAGTCTGTTCGAAGGACAATGAACAGGGAGCCAAAGCCTTTTGTGAAAATCTTGATATCTTTATGGGGTATTTCAGCTTTTTTGAATGTGTTTTTTTATTTTTAAACTTGTGTAATTTGAATGTTTCATTGTCAGCAATGTGAAAGAACAGTCAAGATGTTTGACTGGATTATAAAATATATCACTGGAGCAAAGGGAAGACTTTTGAAAGCCCCTTTGCTGACTATCTACCTCAGTTTGCCCCCCGGCAAACTCTGAAGACAACTTTGTTACCTCATTTGTTGTTATAGTTTATCTCAGCTACATAACCAATGATACTTCCTAGTAGTATTGTGTTTTCATTGCCGTATGTGTAATGTGTGTGATCAAAGGAGTCATATAGGTAGATGAGTAAGAATGTTTATCTGAAGCTCTGATTTTTAAAAAACCTGTGACATCTGCATGGTTTGGATAAGTTCATACCTCTGGCTGTGAGGACTGTTAAAACACTGAGAAGAGGAAAAGTGGGACTATTTATTTTAATGAATGACCAAAACAAAAAGGTATATCTCTTTTAAGAACAGAACTATTGAGTAGCAGATAGGGATCTTTTTGCTTAAAAGGCCTTTATGTTTTGGACATTGGAGTCTGAATGCTTTATCTCCTATATTCCAAACCTCAACCTGCCTGGAACCGTGCCTTTTCTGTCTTCCTCTTTGCCTGACAGTTGGCCAGAGGCTGCACTGTCTAGTTTGCAAAGCATCCTCAACTTTGCCAGTATTAGTTGCAAAACCCCATGCAGAAAATGGATTTTTAAAGAAAATGGGTTAAGGTATTTTTTTCCTTTTCTTTTTTTTAATCCCAGTTTGGCTTAAAGGAGTGAGGAAATTTCATAAACTATTATGAATGAAGATGAATGCAACAGTAGACCGTGAAATGACCTTGAGGTTATTATGGTAACAGTGCCTTTCAGTATATATTATGAAATTCTTTGCCTTATACCTTTTTAATATTCATGAAATTGTTTAGTACAGGAGTACAAAAAGTTGCCTTAAGAATTTCTTGGATTTTATCAATAACTACTTTGATGTATAGTATCTTACCGGGGCTTTTTTTTTAAGTGCAGGTTTTGTTTAGGGATAAATATTCAGAGCTTTACCACCTTACTTGCGTTTTCTTGAATTCTGAAGAGAATTTTTTATCTACTTAATCTTCCCTCAGTGTCAATGCTGTGAATGAGGAATGCTAACTCCCGGAGTGAGTTAATCCTCTTGCTGGTTTGAAATCAGCAAATTGTTTACTCAGCTACATAACATAGGCCTTTTCTCAGTTGTGAGACAGTTACCTAGGTGCCCAGCAGTGGAAGAGGATAAATAACTAAACAGGGGTAGGGAAGGGGTCCCACATCCTTTTAAAAGTATTTTTTCAAATTTTCTAGAAGTGACTTTTGAGTCACATTTTAAGAGGAATCTTTATGGGTTTACACTTGAAATGCTTTGTTCATAGAGAGGGCAGGGTCATGTTAACTGATGTTCTAAAATCAAAAGAAAATTAGCGGATAATAGTCCCAGCATCATCTGCTAGTCCAATAACTGTAAATATAACATTTTAAAATCTGTAATTGTGTGCCAAACTGGATATGATCAATACTAAAGTTCAATGCCAGCAGCCACTTCTGGACTAAATTCAAAGTCCCCCAGTGAGTTATCTAAGTACGGAATTCATCACAAAACAAAAAAGCAGAGCTTTAGGTGAACAGTCTGCAGCAAGGAAAATGCTGCTCCTGCCTTTATAGCTCCTGTTTTATACTACCTCCTTTAAAATTATTCTAGTGTTATTTTTTTTCCTGTACTCAGGGAACATTTTGTTACTTTTGAGCTGCCTCATGGAAGCATGGGCACAATGACAGGGTATGGTGCTTTTTGGTTCGTAAGTAGAAGTATGTAGGGCCAACTTTTATCTATCTAAAATTAAGAAGTACAATGAGATCATTTTATTTTTAAGCTTTCATTAAAAGGCAAACAAAATCTAAAGCTGAAACATCTTCCGTCATGATTATGGAAGATATGTCTAGGACTACATGAATTTAAATAGTTTTAAATGGCTAAAAAGATGAGCCAAAGTCCTTGAGGAAAATATTTTGTTTGTTTGGTTTTTGATGAATAGGCTCGTAGTTATATTAGAACTTTAGGCTATAACTATTTGATAATTATTTACCAGTACATTTTTTACCTTTTCATTTTGTTCTTATACAGACTTTTTCATAATAATCCTGTTACCAAAGAATTTTCAGTAGAAAGTAAAATTTTGATTATAATTCCCTCCAAATTGAGTTAACTAGAAACATTTATAGATGTGAAGCTTACACAAGTAGTTACTAACCCAAAACAATAGGGTTTATATTGATTGTTGTAGTAAAATAGATAGTAATGTTAACTACTTTATTGTTACAAGAGCATTTAAAGTAAGTTATAATACTTATCTTTACCAGCAGATCGTTCCAACGAATTTCAGGTATAATTTTTTTCTTCAGCGAGTAAATCTTCAATTTTACAGTATTAAAGTATTTTTATATTGTTGAAACTACTTGTTGGAGAGCAAAAAATTTTTTCAACGAAAGTAAATACTTTGATCTCATTGACTAAGATATTTAGTGATACAGCAAAGACTTCTTTTTACTTGACCAAAGCAAGCTTCTTTGAAGTCTTAAGTATGAAATTGTAATTAAAATGTGAAGGTTTTCACTCATCTTTCATAGTGGTATTACTTCATGGTATTTTACTTTAAAGGGGCTGTTATGCAAATGGTAACTATTTTCTTTTCCAAAGATTTATTTGCTGTGAGTACTGATACATGCATGTCATTTTTATGCCAAATATTACAAGATACTGCTCATCAGTATTTTCATACCAAAGACCATTGAAATACATAGATTAGCCTGTAAGTAAGTAAGATGAGCAGATTTGAAATAATTTTATTTAGACGCTAATAGAGAATCTAGCTTTAGTAGCAAAAGATATCAAAGGGCTAAGTTTACATAATTAAAAGCAATACAATTATATTGGTATTTATCAGTGTTTTTATTCAACTACTTTTTCTCAGCAAATTAAAAAGAAAAAACCAAAGATATTTAAGGTTACCTCCGCATATAGGCAAATTTAGTTGTACATTAAACTGTTGTTTCTTGTTTTTGTGTTAAACCAAACATGTCTCTTTAGAACCCAGTCTGTATACAAATAGTATGCATGGGGACTTTCCCTTTAATCTGCTGATTCAGCCATATGATGTTTTTGCAAAATGATATGATACTTTCTTAAGCACCATGAGTGTGAAATGTCAACAGAAATATCAGCAAGCTTTTCTGTTGAAGAGTGTTATGGTACCTCTGAATTAGCCTGTACAGTTCCCTTCCTGCTTTAAGCATTACCTGGTTAGCTCAGAGAGCTTGAGGCAGTCCCTTAATAACAGGGATGCTTTTCATCTCTAAGGATATAACAGGCAAACAAATCATGTCACTCTTAAAGTGCGCTATGCTTTGATAAATGTGCTCTTTAAAGTTGTTAGATTGGAATTTAGAGTTGTTAAATGGAAATGTTTCATTGCATCAAAGGAGTTCAGTTTTCAAACTTTAGTGGAACCTTGGGTGAAGGGAAAAAATTTTAATAAAATCTGGGTTTTTATATTTTGATTAGCCTAAAAGTAAAAATACAGCTATACAGCTTTTTTCCATTAAGTGACTTTTAAAAATAAGCTTTGCCACACCAAAGAAATTAGATTTTTAGTGTAAGATGCTATACTTTGGTCTGTGCTTCAAACAAGAGCAATGCCAACATTGGGAACAGTGACAGATATTTGCTTCAGTGTGTCTTGGCTTTGTAAAGGACTGCTGTCAGAAGTGTGCTCATGGTCAACAACCCAGGATCATTGTTGAAGTCCTTTTGAAGCCATCTTTGAAAACAATTCAGATCGTGTTACAAAAAGATGGAATTGAAAGTATCATTTATTTTTTAATGCGTGAATACACAGATGTGGTTCCACTTCAGCAGTGGCTATGGCAGTTCACTTATGCACATTTCTGTTTCATTGAGTGTACATTTTGAATACTGAATGTAAAGAAAAGTTCCACTTACATTGAAACAGTCATTATCTAAGACTAAACATGTATTTTGCAGACTTTGTTCCTGACCATTTGCCACATGGGTCTCTGATAAATTTCTGTTGGTTTCATAGTGAAAATGTTTTTTACAGTTTGTGAGCACAGAGTAGTGGGTTCTGGAGATCACCATATACAACCAGTTGTCTAATTGTGATTTTCATTGATTATTAGAAGAATGTAAACATAGAATTCTGTGTTAAGTTGATTTATGCTCAGGACATAAGATCACAGGCTAATGCAATGTGTATGTTTCAGGCTTCAATCTTCTCAGTTTCCCTTTTTAAGCCATTGGTGGTGTTTAACATGACAGTCTTGTATTTTTACCAGATACTGTATTATTTTTCCTATTGCTGCTGTAACACATTACCATGAAGGTAGTGGCTTAAATAACACATTTGTCTTAAGTTCTGGAGATCAGAAGTCTAACACAGGTATCACTGGGATAAAAACCAATGCGCTTACAGGTCAGTTACTTTTTGAGGCTTTAGGGAAAAATCCATTTCCTTTTCCGGCTTTTTAAGGCTGGGAACCCCTCCCACCGTCTTCAAAGCCAGCCATGTAGAATCTGTCTGATGCCACTTCCATTATCATTCTCTTTCTCCGACCCCAGCTGATACAGGTTCTCCAGGTTCAAGGATTCCAGTGATCACATTGATCCCACCTAAATAATCCAAGATAATCTTCCCATCTGAAGTTCCTCAACTTAATCAGGTTTACGAAGTTTCTTTTGCTATGTTTGGTAACATATTCACTGGTTCCAGGGATTTGAGCATGGACTTCTGTAGGTGGCCACTATTTTGCCTACAACAGATACATTCCTTCTATGCAATTCTGATCCCTATAAAATGTCTGTAGCATTAAAGAGATTGGAAATCTGAGGTTGTGTGCCCTTTGGGGATCTTTAAAGTTTAAAAGCATGAAAACTTTGACTTGTAGACTACCAAAAGTATACATTTAACTTTCTCTCCAAAATACTTGTAAAACAAGTTAGCTTTAAACTTTCTGAAGATGTGCTTCGTAAAATAGCATCTCATGTTTATCAGAAAGTGCCCTAAATATTTGCCTCTAACTTTATGGAATTTATTCAGAAAAAATTGAAAACTCTTCTTATAATTACCCTCTCTCCTTTTCTCTTCAGTGATTATGTTGGTGGGGAAGAGTTGGGGGAAGACCTCAGAACACAGGTACTCAGAATGATGAACAGGACCATGCTCAAGTTTATTTTTTGTTTTCGTTTAAAAACATATTCACAACGTGCAACCTTTCTGCCTTTAAATCTGGTTTATCTCTTCAGCTTCACTAAGTCACTAAATGCTTTTCAGTTTTGTTAATCCTCAGTTTGCCCAGCCTCCTCAGCAAGAGCCTCTGCTTATACCATCAACATGTATATACATCTCCTAGGATATTTGATCTTTCTTGTCATTTTTCTTTGGTTCCGATTGGCCTTTTCCTGATTCTCTTTCTTTTTCTTTTTCTTTTTTTTTTAAAGATGGGGTTTCACCATATTGGTCAGGCTGGTCTTGAACTCCCGACCTCAGGTGATCCACCTGCCTTGGCCTCCAAAGTGCTTGGATTACACCCATGAGCCACCATGCCCGGACTTCTTTTTTTCTTTCTTTTTCTTTTTTTAGTTTTTGATTCTCAAAGCTCTAGTTTCTTCTAATTTCTGGATCATCGCAAGCCTGGCCCTCTTTCAACTTTAAAAGATAATGTCTAATTCTACACCAATTTTCAGCGTTTCATCAACTAAATAGATAAAGCTGTCTCCATTATGGAACAAAGGCTAAGATAATACTCTGAGTAAGCATAAGAGAGATGGTCATTTTACAACTTCTCCCTTCTCTCGTTTCTTGGAAATAACGATGCCATTTGTTGAGCAGCTACAGTGTGCAAGCACGTGGTTAATCTCTGCAAACTGCCACTACATTCTGCAAAGCAAATATCTCATATAAGGGATTAGGAAATATAGGTCCCTGATCTCTTACCAAAAGTCACAACTAGTGAGTGGTTTAGCCAAGATACAAACCCTACTTACTTAGTCCTATACTCCAAAGTGTATAAGACTATGATATACTGTCTCAGCTTAAAAAAAAAAAAAAAAAAAAAAAAGATATTTAATTACCCAGGGTCATAGTGCCTTCCATAATATGATCAGATACAACTTTTTTTACCCTTGTATCCACAAAGGTCAGGTTGTGTCAGAACAACTTTTCTACAGAGTAGTAACCAATCAGAAAAGAGAAGATTGCCTTATTTAAATCCACTTATTCACAGGAGGAATTTAGGCAGCTGTAACTCATCCCTTATCATCTCCTAATTTCTCTCTTCAGAACTTTCAATTTGTCTCAGATAAAGCTGTGTCTGAAGGCTGATGTTTGTGCTTAGAGTTGCATTACAAATAAGGTAGACATGATTTCTAGAATCCTTTTCTAGCCAAGTGTTTCCTTATTTGACAAGGTCTTCAGAATTGGATTTTATCTTTTGTAATTTTCTGTGGCTCCCATATTCCAAACAGGAATTTATTAACCTGAAAAAGTCAGGTGTGTAACCAGCAGTCCTTTGTGTTAGGTCTGAAGAGTCCATGATTTTTTATGAATATAAACTAATTCATTATTTGAATTAATTTAGGAAAGAGCATAGTTGACAGTCATAGAACAGTTATAAAGTTAGGCTTTGGGGCACCTAAGTTCTAATCTTGACAATTTTGAGAATTGTTTGGTACAAAAATTGTTAACCTATTTCTGTTCCTTCTTTATCCGTGATGTAAGGATAATTTGCTGTGCAGAATGAAACAGCAGTACTTTGAAAACTTAAGAGAAAATTCAAGTGTAATCATAATCTGAAATTCATTTATATGAGGCTGTGAAAGATCTTACAGACTTTTTCTATACAAGTCAGCCCTACCAATTATATTTTGCCTGTGTTGAAAGGGAAAATGTTTGCATCTCCTGTACATGTGTAAAAATCAATACAAAAATGTGGTTGGTAAAAGATATAGCTGAAATTGAAACCGTTATCTGTTAGATGGATAAATTCATAAGAGAAAATTAGAAACGACTGTACTTTTGAAGTACTAAATTTGAAGTCATCCTACCCCAATTTAAACATTTTTTTTTGTTTGTTTTTAGGTATGTTGGCTTTTAAAGAGTTAGAGGGTCAGATATCCCAAGCCAGGGTAGAGGGGTGAGGAGAAAAGTACATGTTTAGGATTCTTCTCTAAAAGAGCTACTTTTTCAAGATTATGGAGTATTTTAATATTTCTGCAAACTAGTTGGAATGAATGAATTTTATATAGGGCAACACATACTGGCAACTAATTCTGGTTTATTCGAGTCCACATGTAGGGTTTGTTGGAAATATGATTGTCTTCTTTTTTTAGAGAAAGGAAATATTTTCCCTTTTTTCTTATCCATAAATGATTCTGAACTGCTTTGCAGATTTCCTTAAGTTCATAGCTTGTAAGTAGTTCATGGTATATACACGTAGTCTTAACTTACAACTTAAAAAAAAAATTATGTTACAGAAGTTTATTTTTTCTATGGAACTGTCTTTAAAAGCAAGAAAAATATTACAAATCTTGACCTTAAAATATTCTGTTTCCTGTTATAACATTCTGGATATCTGTTTTGTTTGCAAATGAAAATTATTACTGATGATTAGCAACTTGAGCCTGTTAAGAGGAAATTGCAGAGCCTGAATACACACACATTGCCTTAGCCTATCAGTAGGGGACATAAGAAAATGTGTCTGTTTGTTGCTGTTGTTGGACAAAATTTTATGTCTGCGTGTATGATTTTTTTTCTATTATGTGAATTAAATGAAAGTGTGGGAGCCAGTTAAATTATTTTATATTGTGGGTGTTCTGGATCCTTTCACTCCATATACCATTTTCTTGTAAGGGCAGCATTTGCAGACTTGCTAATGGACTACAGAGCTGAGCTATATTAATTTCATACTTGACTCAGGGGATCAGCTCTGTGAATGCCATTGCACAAAGAAAGCAAATGTTTGCCTTGATTTTGAATGTATCTTTTAAATGTCTTCTTAAAACATATTTGTTTAATAATGTAGATTTGTTTTCTTTTTCTAGTATCATAGTAAATATTGCTTAGTACTTCCCTCCCCCACCCACCCCCACTGGGTAGTTTATATACTACCCTACAGGTCATGCCAAAAATGAATAAAAGTTTAAATGCCAAAATGTTTATGAAACTGCTGTCTAAATACTGATTGATTGCACAATTTAAATAAAAGTTTTCCTTAGTTAAAAAAGGCAAACCCTTGTTTTCTTTTATTCTTCAGTTTTCTTTGGGGGAATAGAGAATGAAAATTTTCCATCCTATGGCTTTCATATCATGGGATGGGGTGACTACAGAGTCCACTCTAAGAAGTAGGAATAGAACCTATTTAAGATATCTAAGAATTGTTTTCATCTGACATTTCCTTAATAGCAACAAGAAAATAACAATGTTCTCATTCCAGTAGATGGTTGCTCACCTCAGGAACTAAATAGTAGATAGCCTAAAAGTTATGGACTTGCCCAGATAATCACAGTTCTAAATCATGATAAATTTTTGTTTTTTAGTATTAAAATTTTTAAATGATAAGAAAATCCTGAAAATCTTCCCACTAAAACCATCTAGAATTAACAGGTAAAATATGACTCAAGTAAGTTTCTTTTTAACATAGTTGAATTCTTACTATCTTTTTTTTAATCTCTAGGATTGGGAATGAAATGGAGACTAAAAAACAGACCAATAACATTTTGAAAGGATACTCTGCTGACTGCGGAGAGCATAAAAGAAGGAATTGAAATATGAGAAGAGGAAAATTACAAAAAAAGTAAGTTAGAAAAATCAATGGAATTTCTAGAAATAAAAAATACAATTTTTGAATTTTTGAAACTTAAATTATCAAACAGTGAAGGAATATTCTAAAACTGGAAGATAGCTATGAGGAAATTAGCTAGAATGCAGCACACAGAAACATGGAGAATATGAAACAGATACAAAGATTTAACATGCATCTGACAGCTGTTTTAAAATGAAAGGCTAAAGAGAATGAAGAACAAGTAATATTCAAAGGGAAAACTACTACATGATGAAAGCCATACATCCTCAGATTCAGGAAGCACAAACCTCAGTGTAGAAATACAAAAATAAGTCTATACGAAGCCACGTGTAGTGAAACTGTAGAACAACAAAGACAAGGAAGAATTTAAAGGTAGCTAGAGCGGGGGGGAAGATTATATAGATTGCACTAAGAAAATTTCATATTGGCAATAAAAGAAGCAAGAAAGTGGGCCGGGTGCGGTGGCTCACACCTGTAATCCCAACATTTTGGGAGGCCAAGGCGGGCAGATCACCTGAGGTCAGGAGTTCAAGACCAGCCTGGCCACCAAGGTGAAACCCTATCTCTACTAGAAATACAAAAAATGAGCTCAAGCCAAGGTTGTGCATTGCACTCCAGCCTGGGTGACAGAGTGAGACTCTGCTTCAAATAAAAGTAAAAAAATAAATAGAAGGCAGGAAAGAAGTTTAAAAAGCAAAAATAATCCTGAGAGAAAGAAAAAATTAATATGGTAGGAAAAATACAATTAATATCTGTAGTTAAAAAAGAAGTAAAATACTGCCACTTTAAAGATTGGATTTAAAAAATCTTGCTATAGGTTGCTTACACTACATACACTTAAAACATAATGACCAATAATTGAACAGAGTTGTGGGGTACAAGATCAACACACAAAACTCAGTCCCATGTCTATAAACTTGGAATGAACAACCTGAAAAGGAAATTAAGAAAGCAATCTCATTTACAATAGCATCTAACAGAATGAAATACCTAAACATAAATTTAACCAAGGAGGTGATTTGGTTAAATTGTACACTGTAGACTACAAAACATTGCTGACAGAAATTAAAGACTTAAATAAATGGAAAGATATACTATGTGCATGTGTAGGAAACTTAAGAGTATTGAGATTTCATTACAATCTTTATCAAAAATTCCAACAGCTTTTTAAAATAAAAATAGAAAAGCCAATTCTCAAATTGATACAGAATTGCAAGGGACCCAAATAGTCTAAACAATCTTGAAAAAGAACGAAGTCAGGTAACTCATGCTTCCCAACTTCAAAGCTTACTACAGAGTTAAAGTGATCAAAACAGTGTGGTAATGGCATCAAGACAGACATGTAGACTAATGGAATAGAATTTAGACACCAGAAATGAACCCATATATATATGGCCAATTGAATTTTGACAAGAGTGTAAAGTCTATTCAAAGGGAAAATAGCAGTTTCTTCAGTAAATGGTGCCAGACAACTGGATTTTCACATGAAAAGAATAAAATTAATTGAGGTGGGAGGATTGCTTGAGGCCAGGAGTTCAAGACTAGCCTGGGCAACATAGCAAGACCCCTTTCTCTATAACAATATTTTTAAAAATGACCAGGTGTGGGGGCATATACCTGTAGCCCTCA